CCCCCCCGTGTCCACATTGTATGTTTACATTGTATAAAACAAAGGAGGCTTCTACGCTCTGCAATGTATAGGCACATGGGGGGAGAGTGAAGGGTTAACACACACAGGTGGAGAGTGAAGGGTTAACGCACACACAGGTGATAGTAGACGGTTCGCACGTCATGGTCAACCACAAACACCGCGCACAAGGTGCAGGAGGGACACGTAGTGACACACACGGGTATCGAGAGGTGTGAAGGTGCTCGGAGGCGTCTTCTGTCAGTCATAAAGCCGTAAAAACTGCAATAATCAGCTAAGATTCTTCTGTAGAAAGGTCGAGGGACTCTGCTGTCTATGGAAGAAAAGAGAATAGGAAGGGAGTCTTCACTGTAAGAGCAGTAAAGGTGTAAAATGCCCCACCGTATGTTGTAATACTAGAACACGAATCTACAGAATGAAACCAAATGCATTTAGAAACCTAGAGGAGTGAAGACAGGGAAGGAGCGAGTGGTCACCCAGTCTGCCCATTCTGAGTTTGTCCCAAGCATTCACTAACTGTTGACTGACTCCTCACCTCTGCTGGAAGTCTGCTCCGAGAAACAACTACTCTTTCAGTAAAATCATACTTTCTAAGGTTAGTTTTGAACATGCCTCCTGCTAGTTTGAGGTTGTTTCCCCGTGTTCTTGATCTTCAGCTTCATATTTAAAATTCTAAACTTTCTTCACACCCTTCAAAGGTTTCAGTTAGGGCTGCAACAACAAATTGATAATAATCGATTATGAGAATAGTTGGCAACTATTCTCATTATTGGTTAGTTGGTTGGGGAGCAAGAGAGAGAGAGAGAGATTTTTTTAATGCAACCAATCGATTAGTTGCCCGATTTTATTTTTTCAACCAATCGACTATGAAAATAATCGTTAGCTGCAGCCCTAGTTTCAGTCATTACCATCTTTTCCCTTCTTTTTGCTCCATACTGGACATATTAAGTTATTGTAGTCTCTCCTGATATGATTTTATCTCTCAGACCTTCCACCATTTTTGTTGCCCATCTAACTAAAGGTCTATATAGAGGAATCAGGACCTCCTTCCTCCTGCTGGAGATCCCTCTGGTGATAAAGATCTATATAGCGGAATCAGGACCTCCTTCCTCCTGCAGGGGACCCCTCTAGTGATAATAAAGATCTATATAGAGAAATCAGGACCTCCTTCCCCCTGCTGGGGACCCTCTAATAATAATAATAAAGATCTATATAGAGGGATCAGGACCTCCTTCCTCCTGCTGGTGATCCCTCTAGTGATAATAAAGATCTATATAGAGGAATCAGGACCTCCTTCCTCCTGCTGGGGATCCCTCTAGTGATAATAAAGATCTATATAGGAGGAATCAGTACCTCCTTCCTCCTGCTGGGGACCCCTCTAGTGATAATAAAGATCTATATAGAGGAATCAGGACCTCCTTCCTCCTGCTGGAGATCCCTCTAGTGATAATAAAGATCTATATAGAGGGATCAGGACCTCCTTCCTCCTGCTGGGGACCCCTCTAGTGATAATAAAGATCTATATAGAGGGATCAGGACCTCCTTCCTCCTGCTGGGGATCCCTCTAGTGATAATAAAGATCTATATAGAGGGATCAGGACCTCCTTCCTCCTGCTGGGGATCCCTCTAGTGATAATAAAGATCTATATAGAGGGATCAGGACCTCCTTCCTCCTGCTGGGGATCCCTCTAGTGATAATAAAGATCTATATAGAGGAATCAGGACCTCCTTCCTCCTGCTGGGGATCCCTCTAGTGATAATAAAGATCTCTATAGAGGGATCAGGACCTCCTTCCTCCTGCTGGGGACCCCTCTAGTGATAATAAAGATCTATATAGGGGGATCAGGACCTCCTTCCTCCTGCTGGGGACCCCTCTAGTGATAATAAAGATCTATATAGAGGAATCAGGACCTCCTTCCTCCTCATTTTGGGTGATTTTGATACAAGTCTTGGCATGCAGTTATAAGTACTATAAGACAGTACAGGAATGTTTTTGCAGACAAGGAATGTAGATGCCTTTCGAGTGAATTTTTCTTTCCGTCAGATTGCCCACAGTTGCCCCGGGTGGGGTGGGGGGAAGAATATTTTGCCATCCTCTGGTCCAATTCTGCTGGACAGATCTCTTTTTCTCGAACGTAGTTTATTATAGTGATGAGATCTGTTGCTGGATGGTTACATTGTATGCTGTGTATAATATAATAATATTTGAGCCATATGAAGCAATGTACATTGATCGTAGATTGGGCGCATTGATTCGCGGTGGCTGTTTGCGCACATTGACTCTACAGATAGGGAGTGATGTGTGCGTCTAGCGATGATGTCAGTAACCAGGATGGAGGAGCGATGATCTCCCGCCATCATCCAGCGACGTTCCTCTGACACTAATTGCCATCTGGTGGTTGTGTATTCTGCGCTCGGTTCCGGCTGATAATGAGATTTCTATGAACTGTTGTCTGCAGATAATTATTCTTCATTATTGGAATATTACCTACGGTGTGTAACCCCATTGTCTGCAAAGAGGACCTGTCTACAGGCTCATGGCTGCTAAGACCTGGTTATGACTGCAGGGGTTGAGACCCATTTAGGACTACAGCGACTTAGACTCAGGAGTGCTGGGACTAGAACCCCGTTATGGTTACGGGTGCTGAGACCCGGTTAGGTGTACAGGGACTGAGATCCTTTTAGGACTGCAGGAACCAAGAACCATTAGAACTACACGGGCTGGGACCCTGTTAGGATTGCGGGGACTGAGACTCAGGACTGTAGGGACTGAATCCCCATTAGGATTGTAGGGATTGACACCCTGTTCCTACTAAAGGAATTGAGTCTAGGTTAGGATTACAGGAACTGACACCTGGAGTCTGGAGGGGGGTCTCTGATCTGATCTCCATTGATGTTCATCCTCCAGATGTTCGCTGTCCTGCGTTGTCATGTGATCATCAAACCAAACATTGTGCTAATCTGCGGTCGGCTCCACTGCGTTCAGTCTCTGGATAAAGCAAACATGTCAAAGCAAGCGTAGGTGAGGCAAGCAGTGATTTTGGCTTTTCTTTCTTGCTGCAGGCAGCAGCATAGGAATCTGCCCGGACAGGCTCTGGCTGCATCGCACACTCTTCTGTCTCCTGACAATGTAGAGTCTCCGAGGACAGTGCTGGGTAACAAATGGACCCAGTATAGATTTTGGGGTTTACATACACTTAAAGCTGAAGATTAGATTGCTTACGTTTTAGTTTCAGTCCAGGAGAGGAGCCAGTAGAACTGTGCAAGACTGAGGGGAAGGCCGGAGTTCTTTAGAATGAGACCATAAAATGCCCTCATTGCCGCAAACCCAACTCGTCTCCCCCCCCCTCGCCCCTGCCCCCGGGCTGG